CCCCTAAATCTTTTTTTTTTAAGATTTATTTGTTTGAGAGAGAGAGAGAGTGCACACTCATGCACACACACGTGCAAAGGCAGGGGAGGGGCGGTGGGAGCGGGAATGAGAATCCCAAGCAGACTCCACTGAGTATGGTGCCCTAGGTGGGACTCCATCTTGTGACCCATGAGCCAAAACCAAGGTGCCCAACCGACTGAACCAGCCGGGTGCCCCCATTTTTACTAAATCTTTTGAGACACTGCTCCTCGGTGACCTCGCTGCTAGGGGTGTCAACAGCATCAACTTTTGTGTTGCTGTTTGGGTGGGTGAAAGTAAAGCACAGTGAGACCTATTGGCCATGGGTCTCTCTTTGACTTAAAGGGATCAATTGTGAATATTCTGATAGAAAAATTTTCTCTTTTTCTGCCACCTGATCTTGTTTTCTGGAGATGGGAGCTCATTAACCTGAGCACTATTTCTATTTCAGTCTTGTGTATTCATCTGAGGAGGAGAACCATTCTCTTACACAGGAAAATCTTAATTTTTCACGTTTTCTTAAATACTTTACCTTTGACTAAGAGAACCGTGATGTAGAACTGTAAGCTTGCACCTGCTCTCAGAGCTGTGGGAGAAGAAGCCCCATGCCAGTGGGTCCCCTTTTGCCCTTTTGTATTAAAACCCATGGAAGCGTAGCACCCGTTCCCGGAGAAGTGAGCAGTGCCTCTGAGCCCCAGCCCCGTGACACACCTGTCCTCCCCACTTAGGCAGTTCCTGTGGAGCTTCCGGCTGCCGGGGGAGGCCCAGAAGATTGACCGGATGATGGAGGCGTTTGCCCAGCGCTATTGCCAGTGTAATATTGGGGTGTTCCAGTCCACAGGTAGGGCAGCCGCATGCCCCGCTGACAGCCGGCCTTTCACACGAGTCTTTCTGGGCACTAGGTAGTTTCCAAAACAACAGGGCCTAGGTTCATGCCAAGAACATTGAGTTAAATGGTAGCTATGATAGTAAAAAGTTGGGAATGTTCCAGAAGTCCAGGGAGTAGGAATAAGGGGGTGGGAATGTAAGTTGGAGTAGCTGAGACGTAGGCAATGTGCACCTATTAAAAGTCATGTTCTTCGTCTCTGTGGCTCACTTATCTTGTAAGTGGAAATTTGGTAAGTACAGCTTAGGAAGTGCAGTCAGTAATACTGTAATCATGCTGCGTGGTGACGGGTGGTGAGCACATTTACGGTGGGGAGCGCGGAGTGACCCACAATGTTCTTGAGTCTACGTGCACGCGCACACACTTGTGTGTCTGCCATACTCCAATTTTATGAAAGAATTTAAAAAATAAAAATTATGTGTTTAAAAAGAGGCTTTATTGACATGGGAAAAATGCTAATAAGGTCAGCAGAAAAGCAGGATTCAAAACTATGTATCTGTTTTGATTCCAATTTTGTTAAGAATATGCATCTGTGAGCTACATTTGTGATGTGCCGCACATTTGTGTAATAAAGCAAAGTAAGTTGTTACCAGGTAGTGGGATTATAGGTATTTTGTATTTTCTTTTTTATACATTGTGTTGTTTTTCAGATTGAGGTGTGGGTGTATGTGGTCTCCTTTTGCAATCTGAAATATAATCAGCCTTAAGTCTCGAACACTTGATGCACTTCTTTGTGCCTTGCTCTTTTTAGTTTGCAGTATATAGCTTTCATTTGGAGGGCATCGAGACCTGTGGATTTGTCTCCTTCTTTTGAGAGCATGGCTTTTCGTCTTGATTTCATCAGACGTTTCTTGGTCCTTCCAGGGGGATGTTTCTGATCCTCTCTCTGCTTTTCTCTTTAGACACTTGTTACGTCCTCTCGTTTGCCATCATCATGTTGAACACCAGCCTGCACAACCCCAATGTCAAAGATAAGCCCACTGTGGAGAGGTTCATCGCCATGAATCGCGGCATCAACGATGGGGGAGACCTGCCCGAGGAGCTGCTCCGGGTGAGCTCGCTCTAAGCCAGGAGATGGTAAACTCGGGACAGGAGAGAGACATATGCTCCACCGAGTGTCTGCTCATAAAACGCATTTAACTATGTGACTTCCATTAAGAAATTGGTAGTGAGGCCCAGCGGGGGAATCAGGAGGGGAAAGTGGCTTATAAGTCTGAAACTAAAAGCGTGAGTGCAAGTCAGGCTGCTTTCTTTTCTTTCTTAATTATCCATTAGGTGCCTTATTTATTTTGTCTCTGAGAGCTGCCTGAAGGCAGAACTGGTCATGTTCTTCTGTTCCCAGTGCCTGACAAATGCATGGCACATAACCAATGCTTATTGAATGAATGAAGAGAAAGGGGGAGGGAGAAGAGATATTTCTAGAACCAGAGACATGCAGTGTCATCTTTTATCCCAGAATCTGTATGAGAGCATAAAAAACGAACCCTTTAAAATCCCAGAAGATGATGGGAATGACCTCACTCACACTTTCTTCAACCCAGACCGGGAAGGCTGGCTATTGAAACTTGGTAAGTAATGCACTCTGCGTTAGGGCTCCTGGCACAGAAACTGAGAAAGAAAGGATGTGTGCGTGCACTCGCACGTACATGCACTGTGGGAGAGTGGGGGTTGGTTATAGGAGGCACTATGGAGAGACTTTGGTATGAACTGCTAGTGTTCTGACGAGATCCATCTCCGGAAAGGAAGTGAATGCACAGTCAGTGCCCCCTTGGGATATAGAGATAGTGTTGGGTACAGATTCGCTCTGCATAAATACTGCTCCCATGGGTTTGCGCTCCACATTTTTACTCTGGAATTGATTGGCCAGGTTTTGTTTCAAGGCAGTTCCCGGAGAACCTGGTCCCTTTCCTTTCTCTGCCCTCTTCGTCCCGGGGAGGGTGGCCAGCCGTGTCCATCTCTCTACTTCCCATCACACAGATTTGTATCTGGTGCTCCCGCCTCCCCCACCCCAGTGCATCATCACTTCCTGCTGCATCTGGCTCCCCACAGGCAGAATGCATGGCAAACCTGAGCCTTTGGCTGCAATGCGACCCACAGCGCTCTTACTCATTCTCGGGCAGTGGTCCCCCCCCCCCTGCCCCCCAACCTCCTTTCCAATCCAGATCAGCCACTGTAATGATTTTGTTTATTCAGAAAAAATTTTTAAAAATATTCCTCTTCCCTCGGCCAAAAGTGAGGTTATGTTGCTGAGATTTGTGGTCATGCCTGGAGGTGATAGAGTAACCAAGAGGAAAAGTAGGGTTTTCGTGACATTTGTGCCCGGATGTGATTATTTCATTAATTGTTCCAGAACACTGAGAGAGCCCCTGGACATAATGAGCACCCTTTTGGCCCTGAGGGGATACATTCCTCTGTTTTCTTCGGCCTTGGCCTTTTGATGCATGGGGTTCCCTCATCGCACCAGGAGGTGCTCGTTAGAATGATCCCCCTCTACCATTTCGGTTACTAGGCCTGGTGAAATTAGAAGTCATTCCTCTCTTGGCGATGACTGAAACCTCTGGGAAGTGCTGAAATGGAGTCTGTTTTAATTTCTGATGAGTTCAGGTAGCAGTAGGATTTATATGTCCTTTACAAAGCATATCCCAAGTCCTTGTGTTTCTATATAATGACTTAATTCATGAATTCTCCTTAAAGCCCCACTTCCCCAATGGGAGTTTTGACTTAGCTCTTGAGTTCGTCAACATTTCTCAGGCCTTTAAGCCAGTAGAATCCTTGAAGTGAAGGGTTCTAAAATTGCAACCCCAGAGCCAGCCAGCCTGCCCTGCACCTTTCCTGCCAGGTGGATCGAGCTGAAAGCAAAACCACTGGAAATTTAAAAAGTACATCCAAGTTTAGATTTACTTCCCCTCCAGTGAAATTTGTTTAAATGCTAATGCTGAGTGTTAGCTTTGACAGCCCAGATGCTAAAATTAGAACAGTGCAGAGATTCTCTTGGCTCTCGTACCAGGATGACATGTAAATTCATGAGGCATCCCATATTTTTAAAAGGAAAAAAAAATTAACAAAATGTGGGACTTGTTTTTAGGTCATTGCATTACCTTTTCTAAAGCTCCTCCAAACCCCTAACTCTTCATACTGTGTTTTCATCGTAGCCACTTAGGATCACCCCTGTGTACTTACGTGCTGCAGAAGGCAGGCTTCCGGCCATCTGCATTTGTGTGTGTATGTCCGTGTATGCATATAGCCGTAAGAATGTGTATTCTTGTGTGCACACATATGTACGTATGTATTCATGGGAATATGTGTGTGCATTCTTACACACACCTTAAAAACTGACAGCCATCTGCAGAAAGACATTAAATTTTCCCCCAAATTTTCCTCTCTTAGCTCTGGATTCTGGATAGGCCAATAAACATTAGCTTTGTGAGCATGGATCTGCAGCATATTTGGGGCCAGGTTTTCGGGAGTGCCGCAGAGCCCGCCTTCACCGGGTGGTGTGTGGCAGGTGAAACGGGCTCCCCCATTCACATGCCATACAGTGGCGTTCGCCCCGCTTAGTGATTTTATGTTTGGCTTCCCCAGGGCAGATGTGAATGACTAATACATTGCACTTTAAGATTAAGGAGTTTGGTTTAATTTCTTTGTTTTAATTTTCTTTTCTCCCTCATTTGTATGTTTCCATGATTTTGGCTCTCCTTTTCCTTGCCCCAAACTCCAGGAGGTATGTAATCCCCCCAACCTGCTCGCTCGCTCTGCCAAGGCCACTGTACTTGCTGCAGCGTTTTCTTATTTTGTTATTTTTGGTTATTTTGTTTTTTAATTGCTGGTGGTAGTGTTACTGCTGCTTCTAACTTATTGTACAGTCCCTAGGGAACTGGTCAGGATCAGGGGTCCATGTTTTCCCTTTAGGACTAGTGCGTAGTGCATCAGACAGCTAGGCACCAGGTCGTGGGGTAATTTAAACTTCACTGAATGCGGTAACGCAAGAAAATCATACTAAGAGTGGGTTTATAAAAACAGAGAAAGATTGGCCAGGCATAATCTGTATGTGTTGCATTCAAATTGACCACACCTGTGAATTACAGTAATTTCTGAAGAGGAGGAAGAGAAGGAGGGTCTGACTTCCCAGCGCCACGTGCTTCTAATATGTCCTGATCAGAAAGCACGCCAGGACAAGAAGTAAATGGGACAGCTTGGGACCTTTGCCTTTGCATGAAGCGGGGAAGTGGCATCTCCTAAACTCAAAGGATGCCAAGTTTGGGAGGAAAAAAAAAAGACAAAGACCAAAAGCCCGCCCCGGAAGTCCTAGGTATTAGGGGAGGGCGTTACGACCTCAGCTCCGTATTCCATGTTGTTTTGTTTTTCTCCCTCCTCTTTTTCAGTTAAAATATTGTTAAAAACCCAAAATTGGCCTCTTAGTTATGTTGTTGGTATCTCCTGTCCATTTGCTGATTTGGGGGTTATGTGTTCCTGGAGGAGGAGCTCCTCAGGTGTGTGCTGCTGTGTTACCTGAGCAGAGAGCTGCACGCAGAGAAGAGCCCCAGTGCCCACAGTCGTTAGCATGTTCTGGGGACTTGGCGGTGCCAGGGAAGTCGGCGCCTGGCCTTCGCATCGGGGGTGGGAGGTGTCCTGTGAGTTCCACAGGGACTGTCCTAGGTGCGCGCATTGGTCTGTCTGCTTGTTTCATGTCTGTTTCTTTCAACATGGAAATGCTCCCCCCGGACCGCCGTTCTCACGGCAGAGGTCCCTGTAACACAGCCAGTTGTCAGCGGGAGTCATCAAGCTTTCGTAATCAGGGAGCGGATCTTTCCAGCTTTGCTTTCGAGATTTCCTTCCACCTTCTTCTTTTTCGCATCTGACCCCTCCTCCATGACCTCCTAAGCCCTGAGGGCCCCCGGGTGGTCCTGCGGGGGGGAGCGCATGGGAGTCAGCATGGGTTGAGGTGTCCTGTGTCCCGAGCCCTGCGTGGGGATGAAGGCCCAAGAGGTAGAAGAGCTGATTTGTCAAGGCTCTGAAGTGGGGGCGGGGGGGTTCCTTTTTATAACATATTGGCTCCAGTTCTAAATATATTCCTTGTCTTCTTTTCCTTCCTGATTTGTTTTGATCCTGCCCAGCCTTTCCCATTTTCTACATGCATGTCATATTTCCATCTGTGGTTTTTTTCTTAATTCATGCCCTAGGGCCTTAGGGACCAGAGGCACATGCTCACATAAACCGGCAAATTGCTGCTGGTGGGGGCCGGTCCTAGCACAGGGCCCCTGCAGGTGGGCAGCCTGTGCGTGCTGGCAGCAAAGGCCTCTGTACCCTGGGTCTGTGCAATTCATGATCGATCACTTAGCCTCCCCGAGACTTCAGGCCTCCACACAGAGCCATAAAAGGGAGTGGAAAGCCCAACCGGCCTCCTGCTCGATGCCGGGACCAGCGCTGGGTGCGCCCTCTCCGTAATGTTACGTGCACGCTCCAGCCATGGCGTCCCGTCAGGAGACCCGGGGTGAGCACATGGCAGCATGCCCGTGCTCTCGGCCCAGCTGCCTGTGCTGAGGGACGAGGGAGAAAGCATGACTAACTAAGGTCATACCAGCTCTGCACCCCATGGTGGAGATCGGACAAGTGATAATCTCTGGAGGTTAAGTCTTAGCAAGAAGAGCATATACTGTCGAGGCAGTAAGAAGTGCGTACAGAATGGCATGCATATCATAACACGGGAAGGCCTTTGCATGACTTCTGTGTGGCTCATGTTCGGAAAGCTGCCCCTTGCCCCGATGTAAACAGACGAAGACAGGGTTCGGCTCACGGCCGTGCAGGGGGCAGGAGGAGGCTTCACTGAAACAGCCCACAGCCAAGCCTCCCTCCCCGGTGTCCTTCTGAGCATAGCCTCATGGCCCCAGCGTTGCTGCTTCACCAGGGAGGTGGTGGGGGCCTTTGGGGCTCACAGCCACCACCATCCGTGCTCCTTTGGCCCGCGACCCCTCCCCTAGCTCATCGTGTTCAGAGCTCAGGTGAGAAGTCCAGGCTTGGAAAGCCTCCTGAGCGCTTCTTCTGCTCACTGGTGGGTTCCTCCCCGATGCAGGAACTCCGCCTTGTCTCATCCAGGACTCTGGGGAAACTTCATTTGTAGGACACTGGCCCAGGGTCTGAAAAGCCAGTATAGAAATTCACTATAATCAGGAAGGTGGGGTAGAGGGGGAAACCACAGGGATTTGGGTTCCACGTTCCAGGAAAACTCTAGATTTGATTGTGAAGGGGTTAACATGTCTGATGAACCCCTGCATATGTATGTGCCCTGGGCTGGGCGCCCTCACAGTGCCCTGGGACCGGGGCTGCCCGTCTCCCCTCTTTTTCTTCCATTGGCCCATTTCCACCACACCAACAGCTGCTGGCACCGCTCCAGCCCAGTCAGATGTGCATTGCGTGTCCTCATTGCCCGGGGTGCCCTCCCCTGCGCCATGCTCTCATCCCACTGTCCTGAGTTCATCTCCAGGTGCCACCTGACTTGCTTGCTCTGCTTGTACCACAGACTTTCACTCTGTGAAAGGTGCTTCTGTTTTGGCTCTGTGTCTTGTTACCGATGTAAACTTTGCCATGGTCTCAATGTTCTCTGGGTGCCCTGCCCCTCGCTTCCTCCTCCCTCGTGCTCTCTGAGGGGGGGGTTCTGTGTTATGGAGCTGCACGGACCAGTTGGCTCCTGTCCGACATGCATCTCTGTTTGCTCTGCAGGTGGCAGGGTCAAGACTTGGAAGAGACGCTGGTTTATTCTGACTGACAACTGCCTTTACTACTTTGAATATACGACGGTGAGCATCTGCTGGTCCACTGTGGGACTGAGGGCGGGCCAGGCCTCCGTGTATGCACGACTCCAGTCAGATGTGCTTAGAGGAGGCCCTGCGGAGGGCTGGGAGGAGACTTGAGGTGAACAGGAGGAGCTAGGACAGACCCCAGAGTCGGGGGCCCTGGAGATGATGTGGGCGTCCTGCCAAAGGCGTGGTGGCTGGCGGCCGCTCTGGACTGGGGCAAGAGAAGCCTGGCCAGGAGAAGGCAGCAGCCCGGCATTACACACAGCATTAGAGATGGGGTTTAGAGCTGAGCTGGAAAGAGTGGACGTGGGTCAGGTGCCAAGAAAGAGTCTGTGACCCCTTGAAAGGGGGATGAAAATCACCATGTGGAGCATTCAGGTTTTCTGGATTCGGGAGAAGCAGCCCAGGGGTGAAAGACGTAATAGAGGAGAAGGAAGTTAAGTGAAATGGAGGAAGTTGGGAATTACCTGGAGTTTGAAGTTTTCTTCAACCATGGAAGTTCTGTTGGTTTTCAGCGGGAATGGAGTCACGACACAGATAGGTGTTACATGTAAGTCTCTTTCATAATAAGCGCCTGTGAGAATAAAACTTAAAAGTAAGACCTTTATTGAAGCTCCCTCTGGTGCAGCGCCCAGCAAGCCTGGCCGGCCGGGCTCACACTAGCTGCCCACCTGTCACTTGATCCTTTCTCGCGTCTCCGTTGTGCTCCGTTCTGCTCGGCAGCGTGGGGCTCAGGTGTTCACTGAGTAAAGGTCATGGATCCTACTGAGACCGTGGAGATTCGGAAGGATCGTGTCCGACGTGTGTAGACGCGTGTAGAGCATGGTGGGACTTGGATGATAAGTGAGAGTCCGGGATGTGAGCCTCGGTAGGAACCAGGACACTGGCATGTGCCTGGGTGAGGTGGCCGTCGTCTGTGGCGCTCCGTCATCTTGGACGCTGTGCAGATGTAGCTTCTCACGCAGGGAGTGGGGATCACTCGCTGCCGCAGGCTGCTCATTGTGACACTCAGTAATTTTCCTGCTGTTCGCCCCCAGAGTGCCACTGTCAACAGCTGAGTACGTTCCTTTCTGTCCCCTCCCACCCCCGCCCGGCCCATAGTTTGCCTTTTTCTCAAAGATACCTAGACTGGTGGCATCTTTAAAGTCTCCTTGGGATTTTTTCACTATGCTTTGGATTAAAACGAAACATACACAGACGTCTAAGCAATATGCCCTGAGTTCGGGAGTGGGCTCAGTGGTGATGTGTGCGATTCCAGAACGCCGTGGTTCTTCCCGATTCTGACTGTGGGGGCATCGCCTGAATCCACGCTCCCTTCAGCGGCGTTGTCTTGGGCCACAGGCATCAGAGAATGTGTCTCTGCAGACGCGGGGGCCCCAGAGTTAGGACGGTAGGCAGAGCTTCCACACACAGGCACCTAACACAGTGCGGGCAATCCAGGGGCAGGAGGGGGCGCTGGCAGCCGGGGAAGGAAGGGCGACCACCACCTCCGTGCAGCGCAGCCACCGAAAGCAGGGACAGAGGCCACGGCCTGGGGGCGCCGAGCGGAGGGGAGCCCTGCCCCGTGGAGCCCCACCGCCTCCTCGCTGCCCTGCGTCCAGGAGACACTAACAGGGCAGGGCTTTTGCCCTCTTCCTGTCGGCGAGCAGTACCCTGTCTGCCGCTGGGTAGGAACTGGCGAAGCGGGAAGATGAGAAAGTGGGCCTCATTTCCTGCAGCGGCAGTGAGGGCTCCGGGCTGTGAACTCAGTGGGAGAGCTGTCCACGGGGTGCGCCCGCCAGCAGCCCACCCACCCCCACACAGGATGGCCGCGGTCCCAGCGGGGAGCCCGAGCGCGGCAAGTGTTTGAGCCGGCCCTGCCCTCCGCTCACCACTCTCTCCTGAGACCATGGAAGGGGCCAGAACACAAGCGTGATGTATGTAGACTGTAACTGATGTATGACCTACGTAATAATAAGTAAAAACTGTAAGGAGTGGAACAGATTACCCAAGAATAAAATCACCATCATAGAGGAAAGGTTTGGAACAGTCACAGAGATTGCATCTGAAAAAGACAAATATGAAAACGATTAGGGGAGAGGTAACCAGTAGTGGAGGACTGAGAAAGATGATCCCAGTACTGGAGAATCCGCACCTGCGTGTTCAAAGATGCCATTGATTACGGGACTATTCCCTGAAAAGGAGAGGAACCTGCATCTGCAAATGGAGAGAGCACAGTGCTGCAGGAACATTTGTTGTAGGGAGCGTGGTGCCGGGGCTTAGCCCAGCTACCCTGGTGGCCTTGGAACGAAGTCTTGGGCTGTTGTGTGGCTGGATGTCCCGGAGACGGAGGTGTGAAGTGTGTGTGTGTGGTGGCCTTTGCTGGGATGGGAAGCGCTGGAGGAGGACCGTGGGGGCGAGGGCATGGCAGATCTGCTCTGCTCTGTTCTGGACAGGGGGACGATGGGGCAGGAGGTAATGAGGACACACACACACACCACAGTCCCAGGCGTTGAGGGCACAGAGCACGGCACCCGGACCGAGGCCAGGGCTTTCTGGGGTTGCTGACCCTGGAACAGAGGCTGAAGAGATGCATACGGGAGCCAGGCAGAGAAGCGAGGTGGTTTTCTGTGTGAGAGAGGCTGCCGTGCTCCCTGCTGGAGGGCCTCCCATGGGCTCCTCTGGGACACATCCCCTCTTTCAGGACACGTGCCGAGACTCCCCTGGGCATCCTCCTTGCAGAGGCCCCCAGTTACAGGGATTCGTGTACCCATACACTTCCTGGCCCTCTTCTGATTTTAGAACCTAGGGTGTGGGCCCTAGAGCTGATTTGTGAGCTCGAGGTCAGGGGAGAAGAGCAGAAGGGCCCAGGTGACGTGTGGATGAGGAACGCGGTGGGCTGCATGCTCCTGACCCCGCGGTGAGGTCTTTCTCTCTGCAACTGTTCTGCAGGACAAGGAGCCCCGTGGGATTATCCCTTTAGAGAATCTGAGTATCCGGGAGGTAGAGGACTCCAAAAAGCCAGTAAGTATGTGGGGTACGGGAGAGGACAGAAGGGAGGGTGGGTAGCAGTTCTTTGAAAACGACTGAAATTGCCAAGATTTACTTAAAACTGAAAAGTAGTGTCATGCCTGATTTTAAAATGATCGCTCGTGTTGAAGCCAGAGATGAGGCTGTAATGACAGGTGCTTCCATGTCACGTGCGGACAGTCCCACGAGGGATGGAATTGTCCCTCCTCAAGAGGCCGTAGCAGGCGCTGTGCCCGGGCTGCTCGTGTCAGGACCTTCGGCACCTTACAAAGACCTCCCCTTTGTTCGGAATGTGCCAGTGCTGAGGGGTGGGCTCTGGAAGGCGTCCGTGTGACCTACGGCGCTCCGTGTTTCCGGAGTGTTGTTGGGAGTGGAGCGGGCGTGCACCTGCTGCTGTCTCTGCTAATCAGGCTTATTGACATACAGCCTCATTCTCCACGATTCCACCACGAGGCTCCTCTTCACAGGAAAACACGTACTGCCTGTGCTTCATGGAGGTTGGAAGGAAGTCTTTTGAGGAAGAAACTGACATTTTTTGTTCTTGGTCGGCAGCTTTCTCAGATCTTTGACACCCTCTCCCTCTCTCTTGTGATTCTCAGAACTGCTTTGAGCTTTATATCCCCGACAATAAAGACCAAGTCATCAAGGCCTGTAAGACGGAGGCAGACGGGCGGGTCGTGGAAGGGAACCACACCGTGTACCGGATCTCAGCCCCGACGCCTGAGGAGAAGGAGGAGTGGATTAAATGCATCAAGTAGGTGGCGGATGAGACGTGGCTGTGCTTTCACCGACCAGGGCTCTCACCTCTCAGATAGGGACCGTTTCAGCCGTTGGGTGCGCCGCCCGCCCCTCTCCTTGGCTCCCGCCTGAGATCCTCAGGGCAGTCTGACTGGAATTCCCAGACTACTTTTCGGTGGATCCTTAGATGCATGACCGTGACCGCACGTTTATGAGAGCGCCTCGGGTCTAGGCTTCCCGGAGTGCTCCTGGCGGCCCAGGGAGGGCGGGTGCCTTCCAGCCCCAGGTGCGGTCGGTTCACCTGGTCGGCCCACGTCTTAGGAAGCAGGCCTCATGGTCAGGACGGCAGCTTGGCGGAGATAGTAATCCTAATGTTTTATCATTTCCGGGGAGACTTGTACCATTTACAGGTGAGGAAACTGCCCAGAGTCACATGACCGCGCTCCAGGGTCACAGGATAGACCCCCACCATTGACCGCTGTGCTTTGGGGAGGCTGAGGGTCTGAGAGGGGGGAAAAGTATTCTCAGGCTTCCACGGGCGTAGACGGAGCCACAGGCCCAGGGCTTGGCACCTCCTGCTCAGCTGAGCAGCACAGCGCGAGGGTGATGACAGGCTAGAGCTTCCCCCCCCCACCCCCCTGGGACTTTCCAGAGCCTGTCCAGATGGCCATCACCCCTGCGGGCATGGCCTGGCTGCTTGTCTCGGTGGCAGTTTGTTCTGAGAGCGTGTGACTTCCCCGGAGGCCAGGGAGGCCGCCCTGACCCGGTGATCTGAGGCCCTGCGGCCCTGCATTCCCCCCGTGACCAGCGCACTCCCGCCCTGGCCACAGCCTGCTCCTGAGGGGGAGCGCTCGAGTTTCGGGTGTGTTTTGGTATCGCTGCTGAAGCCGGTGCAGGGTCTGGCCAGGGTTAAACAGCAGACAGATGACTGAACAAAGACACGTGATGGGCTCCACGGGAGTCTGCTTGGAAGTCCTACAGTGAAGAGTCAGGCCGGGCAGGAGCACGTGGGTTTGGGGTGAGGCCAGCCGGTGCTGAGTTCCCTCCTGCCAGACCCTTGGCCTCCTTGGAGACCGGCACTCCCCCTGCCCCTTCGGTGTGATGGGGATAGCTCCCAGGACGTTTCGGGGTGAGACAGGTCATGTGGTCACTCTGGCAGCTCCTCTCCTCGATGTGAGCCCCCTGACCCCCATCCCGTGGACGAGGCTGCACTGTGTCCCTGTCAACACCAGTAATGAGACTCCAGAGCCCGCCACGCATGACATGTGGGAAGCGCTGACTCACTCTGTTGTATACCGTGTGGTAACTAAGGAATTGAAAGGAAACCTTTAAAGCCCTCCACTGAGGTCTGGGCATCCCGGCCAGCAAGTGACCCTCATCCACGTGCCCTGCACTTTTTTTAAAAAAACATATGGTAAAAAACTCTTAACTCTTTCGTCCTTATGAAATGTATTTTTAGCGTATGGTTTGAAGGAAAGGATGTAACTTTCTGCTCTCGGGTGAATAGCTGGTTAGCCAGTCTCAGGCACGCTCTCCAGTTTCCGCACGCTCGTGTGCGCGCAGGGTCCCGTCTGGGCTCCGCTCTGTCTCCTGGAGTGGTGCGTGGCCGTGCGCAGCCTTCCCCACGCGCTGTTCTGTGGTTTTGTCCGTGGCTGTGCGTTCTGTCTCCCACGTGGTCTGTACTCCTACAGCCAGAACCACCGGGCGCTCTTGAAGGTCGCATTTGGAGTCGTCCAGTCCTTGAGCGAGGGTGCGCACTGGCCTCCCCCGGGCTGGCTCGGGTCCTGGCTGGGCCCCGGTGCGGCCTCATCACTGGGCAGAATTTGCACACCGTGTTTATGCGCTTCGGGTACCATGTCCTCACCCTTCACCGCAGCCTGGGAAACACGGTCATCCCCATTTTACAGATGAGGACACTGAAGCACAGCAAGGCGAATTAAATTGTTCAGAGCCACAGAGGTGCTGCTGGTCTTCAGAGCTGAGCCTTGTGACTCCACAAGACGCACTCCTGATGGCCATGCAGCGCTCTGCTTCAGCATCCTTGGCTCTCGAGACTGAAACTGAGGCCTTTGTGGCAAGGTCCCCTTGGGACAGGTGCCAGGGACCGTCGGTTCTAGCTGCCCCAGGGAGCTGTGGAGACGCTTCCCGGGGACCTGTCACCTCTGGTGAATAGGCCCCAGTGTGCTTGCAGGGCCTGTCGTTCCCCTGGTCAGGCGCAGAGCCAGTGGTCAGCTGGGATCGCGGGCACTTCGAGTGTGGCCGCTCTGGAAGAGCTTCAGTGCGCTCGCAGCACCATGTGCTGGGCGGTTGGGAAGGACAGGTGCACGGGAGTGGCCCTGCTGTCACCGTCCCATGCTGGGGTCTCTGGGGGAGTGCCAGGGCACATGCAGGCTCCTTCCCTGCCGGGCCGTGGACACAGACCGGGCCTGGCCGGCCGCATCCCGGGGCCCCGCGGCAGCGTGGACGGCCCGCGTGGGGTCTCGGTCACTGAGTCGGCGCGTGCGCGGGACGCAGAGGCTGCGTGGTTACAGACCATGGCGGCCGTCAGAGCGCTGGGTGCCACGGATTATGTGGCGCTCGCTGTCATTGTGGATCGAAGTAGCACATGTGTCTTTTGGGCTAGAATACGGTAAGAGTGTGTAATACTCTGTTCCTAAACCTAAATCCACTATTAGGTAGAAACAGAGTTATCTCGTCACACGTACCTCTTCTGAGGCTCGTCCCTTAAGTCATGTGTGGACACGGAGAATATTGACGCACTGACTCGGCCTCTGCCGTGCCGGGGGCGGGGGCGGGGGGCACGGTGCTGGGGCGAGCGCCTGCACGGGCTGTCTCCTGGGCCCATTCCTCAGTCTGTTCTGTTTTCTCCCCTCCGTGCGTCCAGAGCAGCCATCAGCAGGGACCCTTTCTACGAGATGCTGGCCGCGAGGAAGAAGAAGGTCTCCTCCACGAAGAGACACTGAGTCTGCCCAGCGAGCGGCGCCGGCGTGCGAGGCGTGCGAGGCCCCGGGTCCTTCCTCCCGTCCCCCCCCCGCGGACGGGCGGCGGGCTGCCGAGCAGGGCTGTCCCCTGCTGCGCATCACCCCGAATTCCTAGAGACTGGCTTCCACTTTGCTATCTGTTTTTAAGTGGGAGAAGGGTAGGAGTTCGCACGGGGGAGAGGGAACAGAGCCCCCGCCAGCACATCAGCCTCCGTGCAAGTCTCCCGCTCAGCAGGTCTGATAGCAGAGCTCGAAGCCAGCTGTTTACCTCTTGGTTATTTCCCTGTGAAGAAGCCTTCCACCCTGCACCGTAAATACACCCATCGATATATTATTCTATGTTAAGAAAAAAGTGGAATGGAAGAGAAGCCACATACTATAAAGATATATTTTTGTTTTTTAAAGAGAGAAAAAGATAAAGTAGAGCCCTTCCGAGGCATTCTGCCTGGTCCGGGGTGGAGGCTCCCCGGGCAGCCGCCGAGGGTGTCCTCCCCACCCGCCGCCCCGGCCCACTGGCGGGAGCCGGCTTCTCAGCAGCCCGAGGGCGCGGGCGGTGGGACGGGCGGGCGGGCAGCAGCCACCCCTTCTCAGTTCCAGGTGTCGGGGGCACGGAGGGGAGAAGGGAATCGCTGGACGGTCACTGTTTTTCAGAGTTCCTCCTTGTTGGGCTTTAAACTGCAAAGTCAGCATTTTCCTTTGAGCTAAGTACCCCGGAACCAAAACTGGGAGGACGGCAGTCCCCGCCGAGGTTCGGGACGGCCTGTTTCTTACGTGGTTCTTCCTCCTCCCCCAGAGCTGCAGTCCTCGTTTTAGAGGAAGGAGCAGGTCTTACTGATCACCTTAGGTCTTCAGCTTTTTCCGCCTCGACTCGGGACCTGACCTGGACTACTGTTGCCCATTTGGCGGGGGGGGGCCTTCATCTGCCCGGCAGGGGCAGGCGGAGCACCAGGGGGACAGGGCCGGCCTCGTGTCCTTCCCTTCCCTGCAGGCCTGCGTGCGCTGGCCTCGCCCTCCCAACTTACTGTGTGAAGGGAGCCGCGGAACGCAGCGTCCTCCTGCTCTTCTCTCAGGGACTCTCGGGCCGCTCCTGCCGCTCGCCCCGGCCGGCCCGGGCCACCCCGGCACTCCCACATGGCCTCACGGAAGAAGGCGAAGAGCCGCCGGTCTTCTGGGGCAGCGGGAGCCCCGTTCCTCCGACTCCGTTAGGGCAGGCGGGCATCTCTGCAGATGGCCTTTGTGCAAGGGCGTGATTGGGGGTGCAGGCGGGGGGCCTTTCGCGGGTCCCCTTCACACCGGTCCTCCCTCGAGTGGCTTCGGGCCTATTCGCGCCGGAGCTCGTAAGGGGATGGGGGAGGTCTGGGCCCGCTGGGGCCCCACCGCCGGCCGCGTCCCCTGCACTGGTTCTCACAAATACTACACGGAGAGGCACCTGCGTCAGTATTCGTCTATTTATCAGAGGTGTAAATAATCCATGTATAGTTTTTCTCCTTTTAGATTATTTTGTATTTGTTTAAAAAAAGTTTTGTCAAAATATAAAATATAAAGAAATGACTGAAAGTTGTTGACAGGGTTTTAAAAAAAATTATAATTATTATTCCAACTGTTTTTTGTTCGTTTGGTTTTTTTGCATTGTAAACTAGCACCAAGGGACTGCAGCAAATAAACTCCAGATCTGCCCAAAGCACCCCTGCTGTCTGTGGCCTCCTTTCCTCCCCGGGGCGACCTCGGAGCAGGGAGGTCGTGCTCAGCGGGCCTGCGCGGGCCGGGCCGTGGCTCGCACCTCTCTCTGCGGCCCAGCAAGGATATAAACTGGGAGCGGGGAGGAGGTTCTGCCTTCTGTGAAGGAGAACACAGCAAAAAGCAGCTTCCTCGTCGCCCCTTGTGTGTGAAGAAGAAACGAACGGCAAACCTCCAGCTCTGAGCTGAGATTGAGAAACGTGTCTTCTGCTGGTGGAATTTCAGTACCTCCATCTCCAGGTGAGCCGGCGGAGCACCGGGGAGGAGTCGCAGTGAGCTAGCCCTCGAAGGCAGGGAAGACGCCCCAGAACACAGGCAGACGGACGAGCCCGGGCCTGCCCCTGAAACAACAGCGAGTTCCCATCCTTGCTGCTTGCTGGTTTGGGTCACGTGGACGATGGTGATTCTTCCTGCAGGCGTCCAGAGCGTGTAGCATTTCGGAAATCTGTGTGCCACGGCCCCCTGCAAGCGGCATCTCGGAGAAACCAGTGTTCCTGGTTCTCTGGGAGCCGGTTTCTGCTTCGCTCTTCATCGTGGCTGCCAGGAAGCTCAGAGTGAGGGGCACAACTTCCTGTGGCTCAATCCTGCTTTATACTTGCCCTGCTTTGTACTGATATTTTTTTAATAGATTTCATGTTTTAGAGCGGTTTTGGGATTGCAGTAATACAGAGGGGAAGGCACAGAGATTTCCTCTTTGCCTCCTGCCCCCTGATCTGCACAGCCTCCCCTGCCGTCGGCGTCCCTGCCAGAGGGTCCATGTGTCACAACGGACGCGTCCAGGCTGACACAGCAGCACCCAGAGTCCGCGGCATGCGTTCGGCTCACCTGGCGTTGTACACTCGATGGGTGGGCAGACATGATCACATGTGTGCATCATGACGGTGTCCTACAGAAGAGGCTCACTGCCCCGAACATCCTTCGTGCTCCACCTGTTCCTCCCTCCCTGCTGAGCCCCGCAGCTGCTGACTTCCTGTCATCCCCATAGCTCTGCCTCTCCCAGAACATCGTGCAGTTGGAATCCTACAGTCTGTAGCCTATACTTGCCCCTTTTTTTTAAGATTTTATTTATTTGACAGAGACAGCGAGAGAGGGAACACAAGCAAGGGGAGTGGGAGAGGGAGAAGAAGGCTTCCCGCGGAGCAGGGAGCTCAACGTGGGGCTCGATCCCAGGACCCTGGGATCACGACCCGAGCCGAAGGCAGATGCCCAATGACTGAGCCACCCAGGCGCCCCATGTACTTCCCCTTTTAATCGCATTTTTGACCCTTTATCCTTTTTTTTTTTTTTTTTTGAGAGCGAGAACACGAGCACCGGGAAGTTGGTGGGGAAGGCAGAGGGAGAGGGAGACAGAATCTTAAGCAGGCTCCACGCCCAGCATGGAGCCCTATGTGCAACTCGATCTCACGACCCTGAGACCATGACCTGAGCCGAAATCAAGAGTCGGACTCAACCTACTGAGCCACCCAGGCGCCCCCCGCATCCTGTTATATTATTACCATAATATAAATCTGAATTATCAACTTGTTCACCTTTTTTTTTTAAGAGGAAATTTATGAATAAGGGAAGGACAAAAACTGCCAAGATCATTGGTCCAGTACTGAGCCTACTACACACTAGCTTTCGTGTTTTTAGGAGTTGGATAATCTTTGTGATTCTTCTTTTTTTTTTTTTTTTCACATCCGGTCCCTTAGTGGGATCCATTTTTTAAATTTTTTTTTGAAGATTTTATTTATTTATTTATTTATTTATTTATTTATTTGACAGAGACACAGAGAGGGAACACAAGCAGGGGGAGTGGGAGAGGGAGAAGCAGGCTTCCTGCAGAGCAGGGAGCCCGATGTGGGGCTCGATCCCAGGACCCTGGGATCATGACCTGAGCCGAAGGCAGACGCTTAACGACTGAGCCACCCAGGCGCCCCAACCTTTTGTTTTCTGAATGGGGTAGAGATACGGCTCCCTGCTGAGAATGCTGATCCTGATGCATGGGCCCTCCCGATGTCATAACTGTCATGTTTTCACAGGGGGCAGAGGGAAGTCCATGTCGGACAAGAGCTGGTGTGTCTGCACCAGGAAAGCGGTTCTAACCATTTGTGAGCCACAGGCCCCTCTGCGAAGCTAACACAAGCTACAGATCATCCCGGAAAATTACACAGAAAGCCCTAAGTGCAAAGTCGCGGAGTCCCACGGTCCTGAGCCCCTCTGCAGGCTCCGGGCTGAGTAGCCCTGGTCTCGGCCTGCCCACAGGTAACTTCTGGGGGCCCTTCTGGGATGGGAACCCAGGAAGCTCTGCATTTCAGGCCACATAAAGTTTGCCTGCTCTGTCTGGGTCTGGTCCCCGTGGGATCTTCGTCTGCTCGGACCACTGTAACAAAATCACCACACACGGGGCAGCTTAAACCACAGAAACATATTCCTCCCAGTCCTGAGGGCCGGGAAGTCCAGCTCCTGGGGAGGCCCTCCAGCCTCCTCGCTGTGTCCTCACGGGGTGGTAGGCAGGGGGTGTGGGAGGAAGCAAGCTCTCCGGGCCTACTGCTTGTTTCTCGGGAGAACCCTGGCCAGGACAGCGGGCACAAAGACATCAGAATCGGAAGCGACCCTGAGAGGAGGCATCGCCGAAATGAGTCTTGACGAATGTGTCAAGAGAGGAGCTGGGCCCGTGGCTTCTTTCATCTGCTGGATGAACTTGGAGCGCTCTTCAGAGCTCCCAAGATGGCATTCCCTCTCATGTCAGCCAAGCCCACTCACACCTGGAAGGCATTTGCCCATTTACGGCTGGTAACATCATAGGGCAGTGCCACACCCCCAGGACTTGGACGTGAAGTTTCTGAGCTTTGCACGCCTCCTTCTGAGTGGTGTTGGTGCAGGGAAAGGATGGGCTCTGTCGATCAGCCCTTATTAACACGCGCCGAGCGTCCTCGGTGATGGCGCCCCGGCCCGCCCTGAGGTGCACGCCAAACCGGGCACCCCATGGGGTTGTCGGTGGAGACTCGAGGAGGCACCCCCCTGAGATTCAGGTGCACCGTGGACCCAGAGTCTGTAGAGCCTCTCGAAACGGAAGTCAGGGTGGTGTGCCGAGGAGGCTGGGTGATTTTTGTTGACCCTGGGTTGAAATATAAGTAAGTGAGCAATTAGTGCAAGTCACTCTATTTCTCGGAGGCAAAAGGTCAGTTCCCAGGGAGCAGAGCCCAAACCGCAGATAAACAGCCTTCGTATGTTCATAGGCAAGTGCGGATTCTGGGCAAACAAGGATGTGCCTACGTGCAAATGGGATTTGTTGGTACATGTGTTAAACTTGTTAAACTTCCCGATGCTTATGACTTCACCTTTAGCTTGTGACTCAAGGGTTGGGACTGGAAATGTCCACAGACAGAAGAATATTCTATAGATAGTGTGTTAGAAAAAGTCAGTTTTCCACCTCCCGCATGTCTCTCCTTTACCTTCACATAGAACACTTCACTTCTGTCCCTTCCGGGTTCCCCCCCCACACACACACACGGAGCAATGCTCTGTGACGCCAGCTGGGTGTCCTACAGTTTAACTCCATCCTGACACCATCTACCTGGAGACAGCATCCGATCCCACAGGTCAAGGGCTCCGTCCCACGAGACCACCCCGCAACTTCAGCTGCAAGTAGGGCGTCCCCAGGTAACCCACAGCTTCTGTCTGACTTGGCTCCGTGCTGGAGTCCCCATGATCTCCCTCCTCGGGTTCAATTAATCTGCTAGAGGGGCTCACAGAACTCAGGGAAACATCTATGCTTGCCAGTTCATTAGAGGATATGATAAAGGCCACAGATGAACAGCCAGAGGAAGAGATACGTAGGGCGAGGTCCAGGGGGGTGTCGAGTGCAGGAACTTCTGTCCTTGTGGAGTTGGGGTGTGTTACCCTCCCAGTACACGTGGATGTGTTCACTAACTTGGAAGCTCCCTGAATCCCGTGCTTTGGGGATTTTATGGAGGCTTTCTCATGTAGGCATGATCGATCATTGATCCATTTCCAGCCCCTTGCCTCTCCCTGAGGTCCCAAGCATCTGGTCGTGGCTTGGTGTCTCTGGTGACCAGCCCCCATCCCAGAGAAGGTTTAAGTCTTACAGTTAGGTCTGATCCCTTTCGAGTTAATTTTTATATGTGGGATGAAGTAAGAGCTACATTGAGCACCTTTGTCCTGTTCCTGATCCTAGGGGAAAAGCATTCTGTTTTTCATCCTTAGGTGGGATGATAGCTGTGGAGTTTTCAGAGATGCTCTTCATCAGACTGAAGGTGTTTACATATTTTCCTAGTTTTCACCTAGCTTTAATCACAAACGAGTGTTGTGTTTTGTCAAATGGCTATTTTTGCACAGATACATTTGCTCATGTGATTTTTCTCTTTTAGAATAACAATATGGTGATCCACTGAATAACATTTCTAGTGGTAAATCAACTTTGCGTCCCTGGGGTAAAACCCACTTGGTCATGGGTTTTTAAGAATATATTACTGGATTCAATATGTTATTTTAAGATTTTATTTATTTATTTATTTATTTATTTATTTAAAG